ACTCTCCAGCTACAATTTTCCTTCTAACTAACACTTTGTAAGTGCGCCAGGTTTCCTTCTTTTCTAAGAGGTTGTTTTATGCTGACTGTGCAGTATTTGTGGCCTTCATTGAATTCACACAGTCTTGAGGGGAAACCTACAAGCATGCATATTTTGTGGATGAATAAACTGCCCGACACTTGTGTGATGACAGTAAAGCCTCCATTCTATCACCTCCTGAAAGATTGATTTGGAAAGCTTTCTTTCTCTTTCTCCTTTTTTCTTTCAGAATACGCTGCATCAAAGAGTCCAAGTTATCCACTAGAAAATAATTGTTTGATTTTTTCCACTTTACCATTCTTTTAGGTGCAAGATTGTATTCTATAAATGTGAAAGGATATGTAGGGTCCTAAGAGATCCAGAAGTGAATCAAGGTGACACCAAGCATTGGCCATTATCTAGAGATTTTTCTACTTGCTTTTTACATTATTTCAGATACTCTGAACATCCTGAAATTCAACTGCTTTGAAAAAACAATCATGATGACATATTTCATTTTATTTTTATGTTAATTTATTGGTATAAAATGTACTATCAGTTCCAATTATGCATTCCAAAATAGCAGTTTAACTTTGATCTGTTTAATTTGGTCTATAGCTTTCCAGATAGACAAGAATTTTTTTTTAATATTTTAACTGAATTTGCACTCATGATGGTTACCTAGTATATCATTTGAGGTCTGCTTTATGCCTTAATATCAATATTGCAATGTCTGAATTATGGCTCTAAGGGATTACATTAATTTGTAGTTTAATTTAGTATCATTATCTGCATAAATAAAGCAAATCTCCTGTGTTGAAAGATCATTCAAAATAGGAATTGTTCCTAAATATTTGGATTTGATACTCATTTTATGCTATTTTCTGCAGAAATACAACCACTGAAATTTTTGAATATCAACTTTGGGTTAATTTTTAATAATCCTAATTCATTTATTCAACAAGTATTGAATGCCTCCTATGCACTGGGCTCTTGGGATATAGTGATAATTTTAGAAATTTAAAAAATAAATATGGTGCCTAAGCTTTAATATGTATGGTAATGCATAACAGATAAATATTAATGTATATTAATATATACATATATTCAGTAGTTATTTCACTTGGATTGCATGTTAATTTTTTAGAACTCCTAAAATTTCTACAAAGAATACAATGGAATGGGAAATTTTTTGAAGTTATTTAAATTTTCAGTTTCTTTTTTAGAACATTACATATTATTGCACAGTAAATTATTATGAAATGCAAAAAAATGCATGTGAATCTGAAGACAAATTTTTAATTTATGGTTGTATAGGTAGAAATAATCTTGATAACAGTTTTAAAATGAGTAGTGAAATAAAGTTAACAGAAAAGGATCTGGTACCTTCATTTATATTTAAGACACAATTTTTTTTAATTTCTTAACCATCACTTTCTCTTCCTTATTGTACCCTGTTTTCCTAGATTTCATCTTGTTTTTCTTTCCTTTGTAATATATCAAATCAGGAATTCTCTCTTTGGATCTGTCTGTGGGTGGTCCTGAGAGCTGATCCCAAATCCCCTGATGAGTAATTTAGTTTTATTTTGTATTGAAAAAAAATGAATGGAAAGCTGTATATGCTCCCATTTGAGATCTTCAGTGGAAAAACTACAAATTTAGTCTGGCTGCCACTGCAGCACTGGGGGGGTCTGCTGGAGAAAAAGAAAATGTAGCCCCTTGGGATCTTCCAACAAGTGTGGCCACTGTACAACCTGCCTTATTACTTAGGTTCAGTTCCCATTGAAAAGTTCGAACAAGAGCGGTTCCTATTTGACTTTTTTCCCCCAGTGGAAGATATTAGGCACCAGTTAAGTAGGCTAAGGAGAATGAAAAGCCTTAATGGAAAAGATGGTAAAGGAAGTGAGTCAGTAAGAGAAACTTAATAGAAAAGAGGGAAAGAAAATTTCCAAATTGATAAGGAATATAAAAATACCTTGGGCTCCAGGCGAAGGGATAGTGATTTTGGGCTAAGCCCATTGCTTCCTCCCCCCCATTTTTCTGGCCCACTTTACCTCTCAGCCTGACTATTGCAGTTGTCCTCCCACCTCCAAACTCCACTCTTAAGACCATCCTTTCAACACATCGCTTGCCTAGACAGAAGGCTTCAGTGGCTACCCACTAATTCCTGAATGAAGCACAATGACTTAGCTTAGTAAAGCAGGGCTGGCCACAATCTAGATCTATCATCTGACCTTATCCCTCACTTCTTTTTTCCTATTCCCTTTTCTCCAACCAGTCGAGACTATTAACTTTGCCCCAAGCATACCTTCAAACTTTCACATCTCAGATTGCCACTTTGGCCCAGAAATGAGGGGTCATCTCTTTGCCAGTTGAACTCCTGCCCAAACTCTGAACTCAACTGCTTCATAAATCTTTCCTCATCACAGCAGCCTAGAACAAGCCCTCCCTTCTCTAGACTCCAGTATCACTTTTGTACCTCTCCTAATGCCTTGTTAGCTATTTGCACATCTCAGTTTCCTTATAAAATCTTAAACTCCTTGTGGGGCAAAGAACAACTCTTCTTCCTTGTTTCCGCCTAGCATAGTGCCTTCCTTGTAGTACCTGAGTAATAAAAATATATTGGATGAATGATAGAAAGAAATCTCATTATGATCAGGTAGTCCAACACAAATTTCACACTTTCATGCCTTTGACATAGAAATGAAAATAGATATGAGTGTTTGTTATTAAATAAAAACTTTTCAGAAGCTGTGGCAGTGAAATTTAGTCAGTGGGTCCAGTAAGAACAAAACTTCCCAGCCTCACTTGATGTCCATGGTGCCTGAGCACGGCTGTCTAGTGCCTGAATCAGTTACACCATGAGAAAGACCAAGTACTGCTGCGCCTCCTGAATTCCTTTTGGTAGATTTCCTCTCTTAGGAATATGATGCCTTTCCTAATAAATTATATACATCTAATTGCCAATGATATTTAGATGCTTTTTAACAGTAGACCAAAGAATGAAAATACTCAACTGATGATGCATGTGGGGAGAAGTTATGTTTTTCTCCCACTTAACTTTTCTATGTGAACAAGTTATCTGAATTTTCATAATTCAAAGAAAATATCTGCACCAACATTCTGAGAACAAATAGCTGCCAACTGAAACCTGACAGCATATTCCTTGGTGGCATTCAGTCATTAAAAGCTATCTACACAGTGTGAGCAGCTACTTAAAACTGAGCTCATATGCAAATGTGAACACTCCTCAATTCAAATTACATTGTGTATATTTAAACTTTCTTTAGAGGCTATGGAATTTTCAGGAAAAATGTAGCTGAGCTTGACCTTAAATACCTTGCCTCATTATTTTTTTGTCACTCCCAGCTACTAGTCTCTCTAAAGAAAACAACTTTCTTGTTTCTTTTAGTTTTGTCTGTGCCCTGAGCTTTATTCCCAATGGCTGCTACAAAAAAACTGAAATGATTCCAAACACCGCTAGTGTTTTTTTTTTCCTATAACTGATATTTAAACATCAAAGATATACTGATGCTTTTATCTTGTAGAGTGCATATAAGACCAAATTTTCCCTAAAGGTATTTGCTGTCCAGTATGCTTTTTGTATTTGTTTTGTTTTTTAGTCATTAGCTTTCTTTTTGGAAGTCATCTGAATGGTAGCCTTTTGATTTCATAGGATCACTGGCAATTATGTGGAGGGGGCTATACTGGAATGGGGCTATATTAAAAACACAGAGATGAGTTAGGAGGTTTTTAAAAAATATTTTATTAAGATATTTAAAAATTGAAAAAAGCCCTCCCTTAATTATGCATGAAAAATCATATTGTGGTAACCAATGACCTTGGGAAATTTTTAAATTTAAACACTTTATAAGTGCTCCTCCTAATGCTAAAACTAAAAAATAATCTTTCCATCAAAAGACTTTTATTATTATGGCAATTCCCATGTAAATTCTTAATGTATTTATTTTAAGGACCTATTATGATAGCCCTTACAGAACATTTTCAGTTTTATTGATTCTCTTAATTGGAAAAATGTTTCATACAATTAGCCTTTAGTTAGCTCTTCTAAAAAATTATATATGATATGAAGGAAAGTATGTTTTGTATCATGTAAATATTTTTCCTAAAATATCAGTTTTATTTCCTTATACTTAGTAATTGTATAAACACTGTTTATTTTTATTTAAACATGTGTCCTAAAGAAGCAGTAATTATTATGTTGTTTTGGAATACTTGTTCAGTTAAACTGATTTTCTTAGTTGCAGTTAGTTGGGAGAAGTGGAAAGAGGAAATATTTGATGACCGCGAAAGAAATCCAAATATTACCAACAGTGGCAATTCTATATGGTTAAATATGAATATGAATCACGTTACTCAACTGGTAAAAGTTACAATAAGTGGGGGAAAAAACTACAAAGAACAAAGACATTTTCTTGTACATTCAACATGTTGAAGGTATTTCTAATTTGATGTATGAGCTCATAAGGAGAATATATTAAATGAACTACATTCTCAAATTGCTATTTTGTTCTTTATTGAAACAAAACATGAAGAATGGCAATTTAGGGTCAAAAATAATGCCACAAACCAAATTTAACTTTAATTACTGTCTTCTCATAAGAAGGAATAAACTAACAGCCAAGACCAAGGTTTTTTCTTACTTTTCAACTTTCTTGTCCTCCAGATGAATGAAATGATCTTTTCTCAAATGTTTAACAGGCCTTTTACCATTTGATAGGACACTTATTTTTAAGAAGGTTTAAAAATACAATCTGGAAAATCACATTGACTCTATGTGGCATATTTGCTATTCTTAGCCTGGTTGAATAGGCTGGAAGTGGATGAATAATGCAGGTTAGAAAGAAAACAGATGCTAAATATTACAAATCGGAAGGTTTTCCAGCAATGAGACTTTCATTTTAGGACTAAATTTTTGTTGGCACTTTTGGCATTATGACGATTATTGTTTCTCTCTCCAGCTGTTACACATCTGTATTGAAGGTTGGGGCAACTGGCGTTGGTCAGAGCCCTTCAGTGTGGACCATGCTGGGACTTTTATTAGAACTATTCAATACAAGGGTCGAACTGCTTCACTCATCATCAAGGTTCAGCAACTCAGTGGAGTGCAAAAACAGGTACGTTCCTTTGTGTTCACAACTTGGACAACACTTAATTATTTGATGTAGTTAACGGAAGGGACACTTAAAGAAATGAAAATAATTAATAATAAAAATTACAGTGGTATGACTAGATATGCCTACTACTACCATGCACATGAGCACTTAGTAGAGCTTATTGATGATCCTGATGATCACGATGGCTTCAAATCCCTTGTCCCACATCTTTTACAAGAGCTGCTAACGAGCAGTAAAATTTACTGATTTTAGTTTCACCTCTTCTCCCTGTCACCACCTACCTTCTGGTGGAGGTGCTAACGAGCTGTGAAATGGCCAAAAGGCCTTTATTGAAAAGGAAAAGAAGCAAAGGATGGTGGGGACTCTGGATAATCCAACAGCGGATAACCAGGAGGAGGTTCTCATGCATGTGAGAATAATCCGTGAGAAAGTGTTATACTCACCCATGACGGAGTGGGCCTGGGTCTCCAGCAAGCTTTTCTTTTCCTAGGAGTTAATATTAACTGCAGTAAAAATTCGCTGCAGTCTAACTCTTGGCATATAAAACCTCAGCTCTCAGCACATATTTTTACGTATTTTATAAAACTTCCTTTTGGCTGTTTTTGAAGTTCTAAGACTGCAAAGGGGAAAAAAAGTATCTGACGCTTTTTTTGTGTTCTTAAGATGTGAAAATGTGGTTTTTAAAAGATGTTTTTCAAGCGTGGAGCATATGACAAAAGTAGGGAAAAAAAGGAAGTATTAAAATCTGAAAACTGGCTTCCCTGCACACATAATAGCTGGATTTGTCATAAGAGTTTTAACATACACATCTGCATCTGGATTGTAACAGTCTATTCAGAGTTTATGTGAACTGAGGACATGATAGAAACAGCACTTGGTCCCTGGAAAAGGAAAAGGAGAGCTTTCCGTATGGAGCAGCAGGGGCTACTCCATTGCTGTATGCCAGAACAAACAGGAAGCAACTGGTGAGGTGAACAGTAGGACCCGTACCATGTGCATTCTTGGTCTGCACCTAATCAGGGAGCTGGACTTCATGTTCTCATTATTGTGGGCAACGCAAGTGAAAGGAGAACTACAGCAGAGGAGTCTCAGAAAAGAAGCTTATGAGTCTTCCTAATCAACTGACCATTCCTCTAAGTATTTGGTTTTTGCCTGCAGTGGAACAGGGTAAAATGAAAGACACTAAGTATGTGACACAGTCTTTGCTCTTAAATTGTAAATTTATATAAACCCAAGATTATACAATTGACAGTAAATGTGAAGGGAATTTAGAGGTTTCACTAAGAAAATATGACTTGAACTGAGCTTAGGAAAAAGTAGAATTTGGATTAAGAGAGGGCATTCCAAGTAGCAGTATAGCATAAACAAAGATATAAATGTGGGACAAATGGGTCGTACTCAAGGACTCATGAGGGGACCAGCCTAGCTAGTGTGAGCTTTGAGCTGGAAAGTCATAAGAACAAGAAGTATCACTGACTGCCATCTGCCCTCAGAACTCTCTTACATGGATATGCTCTAAATAGATATCTGCCAGTTAATACATGCTGTTTTTCTGATTCTGTCACTCATGGTCTTTCAAGAATGTCTTATCTACCTTCCCATTCAACAGCATGCCTGAGAAATGGTCACTCAGCATCTGTTTCAATACTCCAGATGAGAGGCTCATTCCCTCACATGGCAGCCCCTTCCGTTGTTGATTACTTCCAGCTCTTAATGAAGTTCTCTCCTAATTTTGAGCTAAAATCTATCACCATTCACCCAGTTTTTACGATTCCTCAGAACTTGTGAAATGTACACAACAAGCACACAACCACTTATTGTGAGGCCTCTACTCCTCTATGTTACAGCCCTTCAAAAACATGAGGGAAGCTAGGATGTTTCCCTTTAGTTTTCTTCTCTCTAGGCCAGTGGTTTTTCTCAAACTCGAACGTATATCAGAATCCTCTTGAGGGCTTGTTAAAACACAGATTTCTGGGTCCCACCCCCAGAATTCCAGATCCAGTAGGTCTTGGGTGTTACGTGATAATTTGTATTTCTAACAAGTTCTCAAGGGATGGTGATGCTGCTGTTCCAGGGGCCGCACTTTGACTGCCATAGCTCTGGTCTAAACTTTGCCAATTTATTCCACTCTTTTGCATGTGGTTGCTAGAACATTTACCAATTAGTAGAATGGCGGAGTCCTTCCATGGAGAAATGGTTTTCATGGTAAGTCATATGGTAAAGATCATGGGCAACTGGCTCTATCCCCTTGCTAGCTGTGTAATCTTCAGCAAGTTATTTAACCTTTGTGAATCATTTTCCTCATAGGTAAAATCAGGATAGTAATAATGCCTTTCTCACCAAGTTAGTGTGAGGGTTAAATGAGTTTGAATGTGTAAAGTGCTTGCAGTCTGCCTGGCCCACTATCATAACCCAATAAACTTTAGTTACAAGTACAATAATGAAATATTCCCGGACATGACTAACACTTGTTGGACTTCTTTGTGTAACAACAATGGGGCCTCATTTTTGCACAGATATTATCTATTTTCAAGGAATGATATTAAGTTTCAGGAATAAATTAATATATATTGTGTTCCTGATCAGATATTATACATTGCAACAGTATACCATAAATGGAAAGAGTTAGTGGTGGGCAAAAATTTTTTTTTAATTATCACAAAATGTTACCTTTTTTTTCTGATTGTAAAATATTTCCCAGCCCTAGTACTTATTACCTATATGATCTTAAATAAATTTCTTAACCTTTCCATGCTTCATATTCCTTTTGTAAAAGAAAACACCCAATAAATATTAGTTTACTATTATTTTTGTTAATTGTTATAAAATATTTCTGAAAACACAGAGAAGTCTAATGAAGAAAATAAAAATTACCCTTAATTCTGCCACCCAAAAATAAATACTATTGTTAGTTTTGTGTGCTTTTTCTACTCTTTTTTTCTATGCAGATATTTTTTTAACCTACTTGAAATGTTTTTCAACTTGTTGTGTTCACTTAACACTGTATAACGCTTATCTTCTCATGGTATCTAAACTTCCTGAAATTATCCTTTTAATGGTTACATAATAATCTACCATATGGTATATTGAAACACATTCAGACGTTCCCTTGTTGGGCTTTTAGATAATTTCTAATCTGTTGCTATAGTAAATCCTTAAATAAACATCGTTGTGTATAAATATATGTCCCAATTTCTGAATCTGTCCTTAAAATAACTTGCTATGAAATTTAATTATTGAGCAAAGGATATGAGTGTTTTTGCAGTGCTTGATGCATATTCCCCAACTGAAAAGATGTATTTTATTCTTTAACCAAAATTCATAGTTTTTTCTCACCAAATTCTTGTTAGGGCTACACTAATCTTTCAAATAACTAAATATGTATTTGTCCCAAAACTTCTGCTGAATTTCTGAGTTTTTCAAACCATTAGCATTTTTTTTTAAATCTTGATTTTGTAAAGAGGGGTTCAGAGCAGGACCAAAACAAAAAATTTCCATACATTGCAAGTTTAAGGAATCTTTTTAATCTTCCTCTCTGTTATTGTCAAATACACAGATTTTAAGGCATCTGGTGCCAAATCACTTTCAGGATTCTTCCAAATGTTATTTGTACTGTTGAATGTTAATAATCCTTTTCTATAGGGACTGCCTCTCACATTTTTCACTGCTTCTACCCTATTTATAATAAATACTCTTAAAAAAAAGTAATAGGTAGAATCTAGCCAAAGAGGAAAGGACTATTTGAAGAGCAATAATAGCAGCATAAGTGGCCCTCACATTGTATTTACCTTTCTAAAAGGAAGTGTCCTCTTCTCCCACAAGAGCTGGGAAAGTCCATTTTTCATTCCCACTATCATGGAAGGCACATACACAATTCATATTGTGAGTTTTAGCATTTCTTGTCCTAGTCAAATGAGATTGAGCTCTATATTAGGGCCATTTGAAACCTTAGCAGAGTACTGAAAAGTGGAACAGAGAAACAGCAATTCAGTTAAACTAGAATGAAGCAAACGGAAAGTGCTGTATACTGAATGCAGGTAATAGTGAAAGGTTTAGCAGGCCGCCATGCCAGCTTCAAGACAACTGCCACATGTATCCAAGCTGTGAAAAACCTTTGTAGTCAGTGATATTTAGTCTCTCATCTCTCTCTCTTTCCCCTTCCTGTGTCTGTCTTTCTCTCTCTGTCGCTCTCTCTCTCTCACACACACACACAAGCAAAAATTTATAATGTCTTTTGAATTGGGTTTAATTTTTTATTGTCAGGGTAGATTAACTAATATTCAGATTAGCTCCAGTTAGAGTACATCAGAGACATAGGATCTCCTCAACAAGTCAGGATAGGAAGGAAGACAGGAACCAAGCTTCCAGAAGAGCTTCATGGATTTCTGCCTCCCTCATATCTTGGCTTCTTTCCTTCTACCCCACCTGGGCCTGGAAATTTGCAATAAACCACAGCTGCCTAATTAATTACCAAGCCCCATTTGGGGAAGTGAATGTGTGCAGCTCCCTGATGTACTTTAACCACAGTAGTATGCCCCTGGATAGTGGAGAATTGGCTAAAGCTCATGTGAACAATGACGTTTGGTTATCTGTACCCTGCCTTTCCTATACCTCTCTCATTTCTCCAATTGAATGAAAATTGATCACATATAAAATTTCTCAGGAATTTTGTACATTATACAACTACTCATGTACAGGTATTTGCTTCCATGTTTCCCATCTCTTCACTGAAGAAAGCTGTACCACTCTAAAAACTTAAATGTATATATGTATGTATATATATATATATTTTTGTATCTTTATACATACACTTTTAATCATGGTTAAGGTATCATTTTCCAGTGCATCTGGTGCTCTGGAGTTATTCTTTAATATCACTACTACTCTTGGCACTGATCTAATAAGAGTTCTGAAACCTGCTAAGTAAAATCATATGTGGAAATCTTCAATACACATCTTTGTGGCTTTGGGGAAAGAGAGGAATTAGTGTGAAACCTGGAAATATGTATTAAAGAGAAACCCTACATTAGAAAAAATTAAGTAGCTGTCTTCAACTGATAAATTAATCTTGAAATTCTAACCATAATTTTCAAAATAAAGGTATTGTGAGTGTTGCCACTTTGAAGAAAAGCAGACATGGTTCTCACTGAACCCTACGTGGGAGCAGCCATGAAGAGCACCACTCTGAGGAAGTAGCCATTTTGGATTTTCCTTCATCTAAGTAGCCTTCCCTCCCTGGCCACTTTTAAGGGTTTTCTTTTTATCAAATTTGAAAACCTATTTAACAGGATTTTTAGTTGAAAATGAAACTATAAAAACCCACCAAGAGGATCTTTGTCTTTAAACAAAGTGAGTCCCAGATGGTTGCACAGATTCTGTGGTTTCTGTGAGACAGCAAAATTCTCTTCTAAATCTCATGGGGCCCAAAGGTTTTGAAGCAAGAGGAGTGGGCATATCCAGAGTCAGAACAGAGTGAAGTACTGCCTCAGAGCTTCCAAATGTTTATTTAAATTTAGGCGATGCTCTGGCATGGTAAGACTTATCTTGAGTGTCTAGTAACCCTTAGCATATACTAAAGAAAAGCTTGCTGCTAATTTAGGACTCATAGTTTGGTTGACTTTTGTTATTGTGAAAACGTTGTTTTTAAAGATGATAATGGCCAGAGTATCTAGGGGAAATATAACAGTTAAGCACAGCTTGATTTTTATACATGTGTTCCTTCTAAAGAAAATTCAAAAGAATAGATCATTGGAAAATAAATCTTTGATAAAATGCTAAACCTCACTATTCAAATAATGCAAGTTGAAACAACAATGACAATTTTTGATCTATCAATGTAGCAGGTTTGTTTTGGGTAAATCATAGTTCATTCATAAATAGTTATTAATATTTATTTGTGTAAAGATGTGTTAAAAATGAGGATTACAAAGTATTCTTAATGATATAGGAAAATATTTCATTTAGGATGCTTTCAGCTTCAAGTTACAAATTGGGCTTTTTAATCTTCATAGCAAGTTAATGAGGCAGATGCTATTATTATTCCTATTTTACATTTACTATCTCCTAACAAGAAGGAAGAAGGCAGGTTTGGTGTTGGTTAGTCATGCAACTCAGTGCTATATCTGCTTCTCTGCCATCCTCTTAGATTTGCCTTCCTGGTTTCAAGACGGCTGCAAAAGGATATATATATCCTTTCATAACATCTGCCATGAGAGAAAGGAAGGAGGGCTTTTTATTCTCAAATTGTCTCCCTTATTATCAAGGAGTAAAATCTATCCCAGAGCCTTTTAACAGTCTTCCCTTTTCATATTATTAGCCAAAACAGAGTTCCATGTTCACCCCTAAACTAATCATTGGCAAAAGGGAAATGGAATTACCAAAATTAGCTTGTACCAGTTATAGTACAGCCTCTGGGAGCCAGGGGCAGTGTCCACCTTCCCAGGGTACTTTGCTGCTTTTTGAGACCTAAACCAAATCAGAGTTTTTAATAGCAAGGGAAAAGAAAGGACCAGCTATTTGGAATGGAACCAGTGGTGTCTGCCACATTTATCTTATGAAGGGCAGACTTTATTCTCTTTTTTATGATTTCTAAGTTTTCTTAATTAGTAGGTATTAATTTAATGAGAGACAGACTGTCAGGGTGATATCAACACAGACTCTGGGCCAGACAGTCTGGGTATCATTGGGCAAGTTATTCAATATTTTTGTGCCTATTTCCCCCTTGTTAAGACAAGGAATCATAGTAGCACCAGTTTTATAACATTGCCGTGAGATTAAAAGAGTTAATTTGTGAAAATGCTCTGTATTAGTCAGAGTTCTCCAAAGAAACAGAACCAGTGGGATGTGTGGGGGTGTGTATACCATATATATATATACACACACACACACATATGTGTAATAGAGAAGGAGAGGGAGAGATTTATTATAAATTGGCTCAAACAATTATAGAGGCTGAGAAGTCCCAAGATCTGCCATCTGCAAGTTGGAGACCCAGAAGAGCTGATGTGTAGTTCCAGTTCAAAAGCCAGTAAGCTAGAGATCCAGTAAGACCTGATGTTTCAGTCTGAGTCCAAAGGCTGGGAAAGACCAATGTCCCAGCTCAAGCAATTAGGCAGGAGTTCTCTCTTACTCAGTCTCTTTGTTCTATTCAGGTCTTCAGTTGATAGGATGAGTGCCACTCACATCAGGGAGGGCAGTCAGCTTTACTCAGTCTACCAATTCAAATGTTAATCTCATCCAGAAACACCCTCACAGACACACCCAGAATAATGTTTGACCAAGTATCTGTGCATCCCGTGGCCCCTTCAAGTTGACACAGAAAATTAACCATCACATGCTTAGACCTGTAAATATATTATATATATATATATTAGTTATTTTTATTTTATCATCAGAAAAATATTACAAATAAGGAAATCCAGATGTGAACGTCCTATTTTCCCCAATCATGGTGAATATTCATATTACAGAAGGATTTGCTTTCTAAAAGTATTTATTGCATGAGAATAAATTTTGCATTATTTTTTCAATTTCAACCAATTTAAGAGATACTTCTTAATGCCTCTATGAACTATACTCTTAGCTGGATAAAAAATTGGATAATTCCTGGGTTTAATGGATAATTCTGTGTGTTTTATAAAGATACATGCTTCCACACTGTAAGAAAAAGCTGAATAAAATAAAATATAGTTAGATATCCAAGTTAAAATTTGTTTGTATTATCAGTTTATGTAGAGACCTCTTATTGCGTAAGTGTGCGATAAACCCTTGGAAATCAGCTTCAGGAAATAAATTGATCACTATTGTCCTCTTGGCTTTGAGAGATGAAGTCTCGTTTTCCATCCCCATCCTTTTTGACTGCTACATTATTTGATACTGGTAGTTCACCCCTCCTGGTCAGTCTTTTCTCTTATGGCTTCAGCAACACCTTCTCCTGATTCACCTCCAGACTCCTTCACCCCTTCTTCTCTGGCTTCTCACCCTTCCTCTGCCCCTGAAGTGTTACTCAGTTGCTGGGTTTGAACCTCCACCCTCTCTTCCAGGTAAACTATCTTCTGTCTGTGCACATTTGCAAGGCTTTTATTTCTAGCCGCACCTTCGCTCTCAAACACATGACCAGTAATTTCTAGGTGGGCACGGACTCTGCCTGTGTGTCTGTCCTTTGAATACTGCAAATTCAACATGACCAGAGCAAAATCCCTCCTCTCCTTCCAAGCCTCTTTTTCTTCTTGCACTCTCTAAATAAGCTAATGACTTCATTTTCTTTCCATTGAAATCAACATAGTTTACTCTGTTTGCACAATTCCCAACTTGTGAATTCTGAATTGATGAAACCTTATTTATTTTATCTATTAGATTATCATTTGTGGAAGACAGATCATCTGTAGTTACTTGTCTCAAAGCATAGAACTAAAAGTTGTTCAGCATTACTTTGGTCAAGATGGACAAGCTGTGGTTCGAGAACATTTTGACTGCCTCACAGCCAAACAGAAATTGCCTTCATACATACTAGAAAACAGTGAACTGACAGAGTTGTGTGTGAAGGCCAAAGGAGATGAAGATTGGTCAAGAGACGTGTGCCTGGAATCCAAAGCCCCTGAGTATAGCATTGTCATTCAGGTATGAGAAGTAGCACAGTCTAGAATAGAGCAGCTTTAAAATTAAAAATTTCTGATTATGTTCTTTATTCAGTACAGCACTTAATTTATTAAAATGTGATATATACAAAAGAGAGGAGACCTGAAATGGTATGAAAAGGCTTTGAACATTATTTCTGAAACTGTTACCTCCCTATCCCATGACAACACGGTTGTATCAGTTCCAGTAGTTCTTATAGCCAAGATACTGTCCTTCCCAGAAGGAGGCAAGCTATATCTTGAAAAAGATTCTGATGCACCAGGGCTTGGGGGGGTGAGGGCAGTGGTGAAGGAAGTCATCCTCACTTGTGAATTTTTGTGATGGTCTGTTACTTTTTTATCTCTTCCTTAATCTCCACTATCATCACTTTTGTTCCCTTAATGATCAGATCCTCTCTGTCATTCTCCCACTCAGTCTTGTATCAGTTTTTCCTCATACAAATCCTTTTGTCTTTATGGAAAGAACTGGCCCCATTGACTCATTATACATTCACTTTATGCCATAATGAAGTCTGTTTTTGCTTAGTTATTCTTTTTTTTAATGGCTTTTTTCTATAACTTCAAACTTTTTAATCCTCTAAACTGATACTGTATCTGTGCCTTATTTTGATTAATTAGTAAACTGTTTAGTATTTAATAGGACCCTTTTCTTTATCATGTGCAGGTGCCAACTTCAAACAGTTCCATTATTTATGTCTGGTGCACAGTTTTGACTTTAGAACCCAACTCTCAAGTGCAACAACGAATGGTGAGTGCTTTCCAATCCTAAAATATGGTATATGACCCTGACCCTTCCTGTTCTGAAATAAATTAAGGTCAGAGTGACCCAGGGAAGAGATTTATTACAAGTTTGTTTCAGCTTCAAACAGCTGGAATACTGCAACAGAGCAAATATGAAAGTTGTTCTGTCTTTTTATTTTTATAGATTGTGTTCAGCCCTCTTTTTATCATGAGGAGTCATCTTCCAGACCCCATTATCATACATTTGGAGAAAAGGAGTCTGGGATTGAGTGAAACACAAATTATTCCAGGAAAAGGGCAGGAAAAACCACTGCAAAACATAGAACCTGACCTTGTACATCACCTGACATTTCAAGCAAGGTACTGAAACAGTCCTTACATTTTCCTAAGAGAAATTCAGTAGAAAAGTAACCTTGTACTATTGAGGGGGAGGGGGAGGATAGAGTTTTTTTTGTATGACATATCTTATGAGAATGTTATTTTTTAATTGCCCTGCCTAGTATTCGCTTCTATAGTTTTAGATAAAATTCAGCCTCTTTCATTAAGCTTAGAAATAAACAAGAGAGATCATCAGAAAATGTAATTCGCACAATTTCTTTTGTGGAAGAAGAGATGAACAGAAATCTCACCCAAGCTTGGTGGGGAGAAATGGGGAAAAAGGGGAAAAGCCAGGGCCCAGATCCAAAAACTGTGTTATCAATCCCTAAGTCACCAAAAGTGGACTCAATCTCAAAAAAGTATCGGTCTATAATACATTTGTAGTCAGATTTTTTCAATAAATTGTAGACCACTTTAGAAGTCTAATATTTATTCTTTTTTTTTTTCTTTCCATTTCCTAGAGAAGAAGAAGATCCTTCACATTGTGCCGTTCCCATCTCAACATCCCTCATTAAGCAAATAGCCACTAAGATACATCCTAGGGGCACAGTTAATCAGATCCTGGATGAATTCTATGGGCCGGAAAAGTCCCTTCAACCCATATGGCCCTATAATAAAAAGGATTATGACAGGTAATGTTCTCCAGCATTATTTTTCTACAAACATTTCTCAATATTAAGAAATAAATGACGATTCACAAAAATGTTAGCTACCATAAAAAGTGGTTAAAAAAAGAAGATATTTGTATGTTATATCAGATTCTGACCTTTTACCATCTAGTAGATGTTGGATTGCTTTACTCATAATCTAGAACATAATTGCATGAAAAGTTCTTTCCCCTGGATGCACATTCAGCATTAGATGACTCTGGTGTGAAGAGGTGTCAGATAGGAGCGTGGTATGTGTGGAATCCTTAAACATATTTCATGAATACTGAAGTTATCATATTTTATTGAGTCTCTTGGATGTGCTATTTGAACAGGAATGAACAGCTGAGTCAGTGGGATAGCCCAATGCGAGTGAAGCTGTCAGTCTGGAAGCCATATGTTAGAACCTTGTTGATAGAACTTCTACCCTGGGCCCTGCTTATCAATCTGTCCAAGTGGGACCTCTGGCTATTTGAAGGAGAGAAGATTGTTCTGCAGGTTCCTGCTGGCAAAATTATTATCCCTCCTAATTTTCAGGTATTATAATTTTTTTAACTAATATGAATTCTTTTCTTTCAACAACGAGCTTTTATTCTGAGGTTGCATTTATGTTCTTAACAGAATGAATCAGTTGTGGAAAACTGTCCTCTTAGATGCATATGTAAGGGGTATGGAATGTTCTTTGATATTCAAAGACATTTCAGATGTCTTTTTTTCCTTTTGCCCATCAGCAGTATTCACGTTTGAGTTATTGTTAAATTCAGTAACTTGTACTAGTTACATTCTCATTTCCATTGTATACAGGATATTTGACGTGCATTAGGACCGGTCTACTCAGGATATAGTAAGGTTGTAGAGCCATCCATATTTTGTGCTTACCCATCTCCTAGATATTTTTGTGGTTCCTACAGAAATTCTCTGAGATCTGCAAGATGGGTAAGAATTGAGGATTTCTGAGCAACCATTTTTGTCAGGGCCTTCTTTCCTTTATATGTGAACTTGGATGGATGTCCATAATCATGATGTCTACCCAGTTGTTAATAATAACGACATGGAATCATTACTGACTCAAGGGGGAAACCTAATTGCAAAGCAAAATTTCACAGGAAGATTTTATATTCCATCATAAGAGAATTTTCTTGATAAGCCTGGCTCATTTTAAGAAGACACATAAATCTATAAGAAAATAGAGTACAAGGAACTCCTACACAAAATGTTTTCCTGATATAGAATAATTTGAGAGTCTTTTTTTGAGCTCCAGTTCATAAACATCTTTATTCAATTGTATTTTTCCTTTTTTTAAAAAAATAATCAGATGATGTTACCTTATGGAACTGGAATGTTGACCTACATGGACCTAATGTTGCATATTATTCTTTTGTCAAATGAAATGAAACTTAGTTTTTAAATCTTTGGTATTTACAGAGTAGTCACAGTTGGGGTTTGTTTTTGTTCCCCCTTCCATAAATATGAGTTCTATTGTGAATCAAAGGAAACTTTTGGGTCTAAAATAAAATATATATTGCCATTACAAAAAATAATAATAATAGATTTGGTTGCCTAAGTAGACCTATTATAGAATATTTTAAAAATTTCCTGTGAATTGAGGTAAAAATATCAAAGTTAAGAAAAATATTTCATAATTGAAACATTATTTTTCCAGGAAGCTTTTCAAATTGGAATATACTGGGCAAATACCAACACTGTGCACAAGTCAGTAGCAATTAAACTGGTCCATAACCTGACATCTCCAAAGTGGAAAGATGGAGGTAATGGTGAAGTTGTGTCATTGGACGAAGAAGGGTTTGTTGATGCCGAAATAAGACTTGGTGCTTTCCCAGGACATCAGAAGGTAGGCTCAAAGTCTCTGTGGCTCGGAAGAAATAGCATACCATCCCCTCAACCTATATAAAATGAATCTACCCTTTTCTTTTTTAATCCCTTTTTGGTATTACTTGTTCTAGACAATTTATAACAGTGAAACACATGATTTCTGAGACCTCTCTGTTTTACAGGGGGTTTTTTTCCCTTTAACAGTGACAAAAGCTGTGTCACATAATTTATCCAATAACGGCTCTATTTCAAAACACTCAGCAGTCACTTGATATATCATAGGTGAGGGGAAAAATGAACTTATTCCAAAATATCCACAAATTATACTTGGCCTCCTTTTTTAAGAGCAGGAAGTAGAGTTGCTAACATTCTGAGCACTGGGTAAAAAGACAAAGACTCCTGCAGCAAAGTTTATGTTCCTGGAAAGGGCATCCTGAGCAAAATGATGTGGATCAATTCTGATTTTCCCATAGAACCAGTGTTATAAAGAGGGAGTTGTATGTTTGAACAGGGGACTGGTACCCATGTTTTTAAAGATAGGAATACAAAAAACATAATCAGTTATTTAACTAATATGAATGGTGTGTGCTTTTCAGCATAAATCTTTTCTGAAGTCTATGAAAACCAATTAAGCTGAATAATATAGTAACAAATCACATTAAACTGTATGTATGAAAGTACAATATCATAGTGTACCATGTAGAGGTCTCATGCTGTGCTTAGTAATAGCTTCATTATTTTAACTGTCCCAAATCAGAAAAAGAAGGGATATGACATCAGAGTAGTATAATTCAGAATGGCCTTTCTCTGGGGAGAAGTTAGATTTTGACAGGCATCTTTGAAGAACCTCTTAAGAAAAGTTAGGGTCATTTGGTGACTTTTTAAAAATAAATTTCTCTGATACAAAGAAGTTGATCTTTCTTTAGTATTCAAGGCTGGTATCCATTTCCTCAAAGTTGTCTGGGCAACACATGTTTATGCTCTGCTGGCCAAAATACTGTAACATGGGTATAAATGGCAAAGAGCTGTAAGCTCTTTGTGAATCACCCAAAGTTGAATAGTTGTAAGTTGAGAACTACCATCAAAACCTGGAAAGAATGTTATGATATACAAACAGCCTATACCTCCAACACCTCACAAGTGGCCACAGCAAGTGCTGAATAAATGTTTGTGAATGAATGAATGAACTGTTGGAAAATGTATATATTATTATATATTTATATCTCATTATTCTTTAGTAGTGAGTCTTAGACTTTTTAGTCTCAGAGTCCCTTTATACTCTTAAAAATTATTGAGGACCTCCGAAAACCTTTTTTTTTTTTAATGTGGGTTGTATCTATTGATATTTATCAAATTAGAAATTAAAACAAAAAACTTTTAAAATACAAGAATAGATAAACATACATTCCATTAGCTGTGAGAACGATGACATCATATATCATATAACCTCTGGAAAACGCCACTGTACACTCATGAGAGAATTAGAGTGAAAAAGACAAATAGCATCTTATTATTATTATAAAAATAGTTTTGACCTTTGGACCCCATGAAAGGATCTCAAAGACCCCTCACCCAAGAGTCCCCAGACCACACTTTGAGAACTGCTGACCTGACATTACCACTTACTAGATGGGTATCTTTAGGGGAGTAATATCTTCTCTAAGCATCAGTTCCTCCTGTAACGTGGTAAGGTAATGAGATAATACATATTAGTGATAAACAGCAGCACCATAGAACCAGACTGCGTGATTTCCAACCCCAACTATACTTTGCTTTATCTTTATGACCTTGGGCAAGTTACTTAAGCTTTTTGTGCCTCATTTTCACCTTCTGTAAAATGGGGGTCATAGTAGCTACCCCATTTGGGTGTTGTGAGGATTCTGTGAGTTAATATGCATGAGACACTTAACACATGTGGAGCATGAGAAAGCAATATATGAGGGTCCATCATTATTGTTTTCTTCATCGTCATCATCATTGTTGAAGTTCTCAGAACTCGCCTCAGTCTATATTAGACATTCAGTGAGATAGCTGCCGTGATGAGCATGAGAAAGAGGAGGAGGAATGCTTAACAGAATTCTTTATGTTGAAAAAAAAAGATTGGCATCTGTTTACATTATAAGTGCTTTATAGATAAGTATTTTGTGAGAGAATTGGTTAAATAACTTGAAAACAAGTCTCTGTTACTCTAGAGTAACAGTGAAAGTAACTTCTTTGTAAAGTACCCTGTTGTAGAGTAAATAGTGGCCCCGTTTAGGGGTTAGGACATTTTTGAGACTGAAAGGGGACTTTGAGTACTCTGAAACAAGAAGTAAAATTGGTACTGTCCTGAGCAAACTAATAGATAAAATGACCTTTTAAAAGTAATCAAGAGGTTTTTTTTTTTTTCTCTATGGGCCGGCCAGGTGGCGCAGCAGTTCAGTTCACACATTCCCTTTTGGCAGCCTGGGGTTTGCTGGTTTGGATCCCGGATGCAGACCTACACAGTGCTTATCAAGCCATGCTGTGGCATGCATCCCACATATAAAATAGAGGAAGATGGGCACGGATGTTAGCTCAGGGTCAGTCTTCCTCAGCAAAAAGAGGAGGATTGGCAGTGGATACTAGCTCAGGGCTAATCTCCCTCAAAAACAAAATATATATATATATATATGTGTGTGTGTGTGTGTGTAATAAAAATAATAAATACATTGAAAAATAAAGAAAAATAAAGAGGTTTTTTTTTTTTTTTTAAAGATTGGCACCTAAGCTAACAACTGTTGCCAATCTTCTTTTTTTTTTTTTGGCTTTTTCTCCCCAAATCCCCCCAGTGCATAGTTGTATATTTTTAGTTGTGTAATCAAGAGGTTTTTATATGCCTTATAATATTTTAAAAATTACTCTGTCATCAATTGTCTTGCAGTTGTGTCAATTCTGCATTTCCTCCATGGTACAGCAAGGTATACAAATTATTCAGATTGAAGACAAGACTACAATAGTCAATAATACTCCATATCAAATATTTTATAAACCACAGTTATCTGTCTCCAAACCCCATTCTGGAAAGGAGGTAAGCAATTCATAACATGACTGATTTTTCGTAAGTTTTGATACATGAACAATAAATAGCATAAACTTTTTCTAACCTAGAACAAATAAAAAGCTAACACTGAATATAGGTAAAGAGAAATTCATTTATTTTTGGTTTAATTAAAACCATGGATGTCATCATCAGCACTTCCAAGGTAACTAATGAGCAGAAATTCTACAAAGCAGCAGATCCTGACACAGTGCTGGGTTAGTGCTGCCTGCACTCCATCTGCTCAGAGGCTGCAGCATGCTCACTAAACCAAAGGGAAGTGGTCCTGAGGACTGGTTCTTGAGTCTCAAGTCTCGTGGAAAAGAACATCTGCCTCACAGGCAGAGGTGCCTGGAGGAGCCACGTGGACAGAAAGCTCAGCCCCAACTGAGCCACAGATCTGGGAGCATTGAGCTCTGTGTCCACAAGGAGAGTAATATGAAAATGTACCAGCTGATTTATATTAACATCTCAATGGCAGAATACACGGAAAATGAATCCAAGAAGGATTTTTGGTTCAGTTCTTTATACAATTAAAGTGAACCGTTAAATTTTGAGAGAGTAAGGAGATATTTTAAAAGGACTTCAAAACAGAATATGCTAAGTGATGCTATTGTTTTATGCTATTGAAACTCTCATATAGGAAAGTATTATCTTTCTTTCACTTTGTCTGTGTTTATTGTTATCCCTTACTCTCACCCCCCCAAAATTACATTAGAACAATAAAATAGGATAAAAATCTCATTCTTCTGAACTTAGAGTGCATTGTAGTATTTACAAAAATGTCAGAACAGTAGAATTTCATCTTGGTTCATTGAAGTATTAATAAAATAAATAGGTGACCAGCAGTACGCAGTTGGGAAACGCAGGTCAACAGTGTTTGCCTCGTAGTGAGGACCCAACAGAGAATCAGCATGTGTCCTGATAGTTCTGCTTCTCCCCACCGGGGGGCTTCCTGAGACACTGGGTCAGGGCTTTCCACACTGACATTTCCTCATCTGAAAATGGGTATAATTTTGTATTCTTGCAGGTTTTTGGTGAAGATTAAATGAGAAAATATGAGTTAAAAGGCTAGGCTTTCAGGAAATGATAGTCGCCAGCAGCCACCACAACACCAGCATCACAATGAACTCCTCATTTCCTCGGCTTCCTGGAGAGAAGGGGAAGGCCCATGTTCTTCCCTGCAGCCGAGGAGTGTCCACTGTTTCAGCCCTGACCTGCTTCAGGCAGGTGTGGGAATTTTTTAAAGACATGAGAATCCCTAGCCTCTTAGGAAGACTGTGTGAGGCAGTGGGAAACACACTAAACAGGAGGCAGGAGGCCTGGCTTCTGCCTGGGCTTTGCCACTCACTGGCTTTCTGATTTTGGACAAGTCATCAGCTCTCTGGAAATCAGCTTCCTTAGCTGTGAAAGAGGAGGTTCAAGTAAACTGTCTCTAAAGGTCCTTTTTAAGTCTCAAATTCTGACACTCCCTAAGGTGTTAGAAACCAGGTGGAATTCCAGCTGAAAGTTGGGATCAGAGTTTCCTCCTTCCTCAGGATGGGCCTTCAACAAATTTAGTCTTCTGAGTTCCATATCCCAATCAGATCTCCTCTTCCCAAGGTTCCCCAGGGTGCTGCAACCTTTCAGTTCAGCCATACCTGCCCAAGAGGACTCCCTCTCCAACACATGGCATTTCTACCCCTTCAGCATCTAGGGTTTTGTGATACCTGAGGGATATTGAGAACTTTGCATCACCTTTTAAACCACCTCAGCACTATCATGTTTCATTATGCCTAAAAAAGCAGACCCTGCTCTCACTGCTTATAATTGTGTCATTAGGGCTTTCTCATGGGAACAGGATTTCTAATATTCTCATGTCCCCCACCTGGCCACCTCCTGAGAATACATAGTTATGGCTTGATAGAAGTTGTACTTTAAAAAGCTTGACTTCTCTGTATTACTGCAGTGAATGTTCTCTCTCTATATTGTCTTTTCTTTTTTCAGTGTTTTCACGTTCCAGACAGTGCTACTTTCAGCATTTGCCCCGGTGGTGAGCAGCCTGCTGTGAAATCCAGCTCCCTTCCTTGCTGGGACTTAATGCCTGACATCAGTCAGTCACCACTGGATGCATCTCTGCTTCAAAAACAGATCCTGCTGGCGTTTTCTCCTACTGCAGGTGCCGACAGCTCGCAGTGCTGGAGCCTGCCAGCTATAGTTAGACAAGAGTTTCCCAGACAGAGTGTGGCAGTGCCCTTCAGGAATTGTAGGGGAAATGGATTCTGTACCAGGTACATTTTTAATGGCTTAGGATATTGTATACAATTGGGCAAATGTTATGATCACATATGGGTTGCCCCAGTGTACTACTGATGAGATTTTCTCTTGTGCAGCATATATTGGGGGAAAAAGATGATGTTTGGACTGTAGAATAGCAGCGATATATAGTAATAAAAAGGTTACCTTTCTTTTACGATTTCTTAGCCGTTGTCAGATGATAAGAAGTAAGGGTTAAAATATGAGAGAGTTAAGTTGGAAAACCTTTTTTCCCCCCATATTTTACTTTTACTTCAAAATGGAGTTTTTCTCAAAAAGTCATTAAGAGAGATAACTTAGATAAACACAAGTCACAGAAGACTCTATTCTGTGGCTGTTCCTTCATGCAAGTTACTCCAATTACCAATTACCAGTTATGCAAGTAACAACCACAGAATCAAGCCAGAGACATGTAATGGTTTGTTCATACTGGACTTTTAATTTTGTGGTTGTTTTGCATGCAGTATATCCTTTCTGTAGCTGTCAGGAATACCTTATTTATGGTATATGTAAAAAGTGCAATAGAAAACATATTGTGATGTTATGAGAAGTACCTTATTCTCGTGATTATGAATTTATAGGTTTCATTTGAGATTTTAGCCATCCTGACGTGCTGATGTATACAGAGATTTCTAATAGTAATGTTTTAAAAGATAACATTATCATAAGGGTTTGTTTGCTACACGCATCTCTCTTCTTTCACAACATTCACAAACATCCCTGATTTTATACACTTTTTATCCCTAACTCTGGAGAGAAGTGGTTATCCCTATATTCTGATTGGAGAGTTTAAGTGTGGTGAGTTTAAGGAAGTATTTTTCAAAGTGATGTGAACCTACGTCTAAAAAACAAAACTTAGTTTTAAAACTGAAAGACAAAATTTAAAATAAAATTTCATTTGGAAATTATGTTTAAAATTCTAAGAATTATAGGACAGGATTTCATTAATATAATTTAATCTTATCTATAAACATTAAGCTAGTTATTAGATTGAAAGCACCATATGTTAGTCCTGGCCCCCAGCTTTCTTGGCTATCGAAAAGAAATTCTCTAAGGGTGGCTTGCCCAGCTCTCTCAAAATTAGGCTGGGGAAACAACTTTGGTGTTAATCCAAGGACTGCATTCTGAAAGTGAATTCACTTCCTACTGTCCCATCTCCTCCTCTCTTCTCCCCTCAGCCCAATAGTGTACATTGATGATATGATGAATGTGATTTCTCCAAATGCTAATGGACAGTTCACTTTGAGATTTCAGACAGATACAGTCTTTGGGAAGGACTCACACTGGTGAACAGGATAAATGGTGAATGAGAAATTCTTTAGTGCTTCATTGACCCTTTTTAATCAGCATTTTAAACTGAGGGCCATGTTTGGCAAATACCTAATCTGCTTGATTAATTGGAACAATCAGTCCATGTAATTGAAACTTCAGAGAGAATTTGTTTTTCCGGCTTTGATATGGAATATTATTTGGCAGTCTATTGGTCTGAATTGGAAAATTTCTCTCTCTCCATTGTAAAGGGCAGCCTGTGCCTAGATAGCAGTTTTTCTAATGCCAAACAATACAGGTTTGTTCTTGGTAGTCAAAATGGAGATCCTGTAAAGAATGATGATCTTGTGAAAATTAACAACAAACATTATAAGCCTTTAGAATAAAAAAAGAGCAAGTACCCAAATTCTCTAGTAGTCCTTCTAAAAGCACATCAGCTCCTCCTTTGCCAAAATTTATCAAGCACTTTTGAGGAAGAAGGCACCCTATCTGAAGAGTTTAAGGCACATATGCATAGAGGGAAAAACAGCAGGAGGAAAAGTTAGCACAGGTTAGCTGTAACTCTCTCTGAGTAGTAGAAGTTATGCATTATTTTCTTTTAAATAATTTCCCCACTTTTTGAATATTTTTTGATAAATATATGTTATATTGTTGGAAAAAATCAGTAAACCATATAATTAGTATATAGCAGTTAGTAGATGAGAGGATGGTCTCCTTTCTCTGGAAAACGTTTCTTCTGATCTGTGAAAGAGAAGCTGTCATAGGGTTCTGAATATTGCAAACCTAAATAAGCATGTACCATGAGAGAAAGCATTCATTTTTTTCTAAACCATTTCTGTCATTTAATCTGATTCTCTTCTAGGGCCATTGCACTGACATATCAAGAACATTTTGGAGTGATTTATTTAACCCTCTCAGAAGACCCTAGTCCTCGAATAATTTTCCACAACAGATGTCCAGTAACAATACTTATAAGGGAAAATATTAGAGGTATATTTTATAGCATTTAATTTAAATAATACAAAACCTATGTTTTTTCCAGAGATTTTTGATTCAGTAGTTACCTGTGATCCTATGAAGAATGTTTAAATAAAAGTATTATTCATCCCTCTTTGAGAAGTTTCTCTTGCCACATTATGTTTAATATTCCTAAGTCTTTGTCTTCAAGGCCTAAGTTTGTATATGCCTTTTTTTTTAATTTTAGATATTCCAAAGTTTGAGGTTTATTGCAGAAAAATTCCTTCTGAGTGCTCAATTCATCATGAACTGTATCATCAGATTTCCAGTTATCCAGACTGCAAGACCAGAGACTTACTTCCTAGCCTCCTTTTGAGAGTAGAATTGCTGGATGAAATAACAACTGAGTGGAGTGATGCCATTGACATCAATAATCAGGGAACACAGGTCAGTGAGCCATGTGTGTCCTGCTAAGGCCCACAGAAAAACTCCCTTTTCTAAAATTTTGCTGATTGTCTGTTTTTAAGCATAGTTTTCTAAATGCTGAACTTTTTGTCTCTTTGCAAGGGTTCGTGTGTATCCATTTTTATATTATCCATAATGTCCTCATTATGTTAGAAATTCTCAAACACAAGTATGTATCTCCAAAGTATACTATACAACTGTTTACTAGAGAGGAGCACTTGGTAAAAGCAAGCTCATCTTGGGTCTAATCCAAGGTCAAAAACAAAATAAAATTGTTAGACTTCTCTGTATAGAAGGTAGTCTGTCCAGATTTTAGGACAATCATAATACCAACCTTAGAGTAATGCTATCTTTTGAAAGTTTACTAATTTTAAAATATATATACTTGTACTAGTAGTACATAGAACTCTAGAAATATAAGTACAATTTTAAAAACTTGAACAGATTAAATGTTCTGATTTGTCTCTGTCTTACTCTGGATGTTAGTGGTATTATTTTTGTCAAACCTAGCACTTCATTTCTGTGTAGGTAAAATTTACCATTTTTAAGTGTATGATTCAGTGGTATTGAGTACATTCACAGTGTCGTACAGCCGTCACCACGATCTATTTCGTCATCCCAAACAGAAACTCTGTACCCGTTAAGCAATAACTCCCCATTCTCCCCTCCACTCAACCTCTGGTAACTTCTATTATACTTTCTGGCTCTGAATTTGCCTATTCTAAGCACCTCATATACGTGGAATCAAACAATAGTTGTCCTTTTGTGTCTGGCTTATTTCACTTAGTGTAATATTTTCAGGGTTCATCCATGTCGTAGCGTGTATCAGAACTTCATTCCATTTTATGGCTGAATAATGTTGTTCTGTACTTTTTCAATGTTCTTTCACATCTATTAGTTCATTTGATCTTCACAACAAGCCTGTGAAATAGGTCCCATTGTATTGGCTACAACACACATATTAAATTTATAAATATATTTATAGTAATAATAACGACTGTCATTTAATGATCACTTAACTATATGCCAGGCATTGTGCTGAGCACTTTACAGTCATTCTTCTCTAACCTTGACAACAGCCATACAAGATAAGTCTATCATCTCTATGTGATAGAAGTGAAAACTGAGACCTCCAGATGTAACATGGCCTAATATATTCCCATATATTATAAGAGAAGGAACTAGGGTTTTATCCAGACCTACCCAATTCCAAAGCCTGTGCTCTGAATGCTACTGCCTTACCTGGGATTCCTCCCTTCTTCCCCAGTAATGCTGGCACGTTCTTTCTCAGCTCTCACGAGAGTCTCTCTTTTCACTCCTGTGAAGTCTCCTCCCCACCCCTGGGACCCTCTACATACTCATAGAATATTAGTGATATTTAATTGCACTTATTTCTTTAAATGATTTCCTACCAAGTCAAGATTCCTGGCACTCAGATACCAGCCTTATTCATCCTCAGCCTACAGCAGAGTGCCTGTCAACACAGTAAGATCTTAATAGATATCAAATGAATAAATAAATGACTGAATGAATGAATGAGAAGGTAGGTTACTAAGAGAGATCATGTAAAAGAAGAAAGAAGGGTCCCAGGCCTAACCTTGGGAAACTCCAACATGTAAGTAAATATTGCAGTAAGAGAGACTGAGAAGGAACGAGCAGAGTGGGAGGGAAAGGACCTGGGCAGGGTCGAAATGTGGAAGCCCCTGAAAGAGAAAGTTTACAGGCTGTCAGATGGTGGAAAGACGGAAGCAAGGTAACAATTAAATTACAAGTTCAGAGTGAATGGAAGTGAGGAAGTGGAGGAACAAGTGAGAATTGTTCTTTCAAGGAGTGTGGCCATGAAGCAAATGAGATCAGTGGGGAGGAAGTTACTTATATACTGTAGGAAAGGAGTCAGTCAGGGAGTTGCCCAGAGAGACAAATCCAAGGCACAAGGAGTGTAATTCTGCTTGAACAGAAGGGCCACGTCCTCTTGTCTGACAGTAGAAAAGAGGTGGAGATGGGCACAGGTGTAGGTAGAGATGTTTGGAGGGATAGGGCTGGAAAATTGCGTGAATTGATACTCAGTGGCTTTAAGTTTATTGTGAAGCATGGAATGAATCATCTATAAGAGAGGGAGGGAAAGGGGTGGGGGCCTGGGGAGAACAGTAGCTCTGGAAACAGGTGAAGGACATGGCCAGGCACAGGTACAAGAATGGCCCAGCGGCCTGGGGGCCACGCTCACCTTGGAGACCTGCATTTGTAGTGGTCCCAAACTATCCAGGGGTATGATTTCCATCCGCAGTGCTCATTTAATGAACAATGAAAATCTCATGGATCTGTGTAGCCTCAGGAGATGTTCCTGGTCTCCAATACTAATTTACAAATAAATATTGCAAGCTTCTCAAGCGTCCCTGAACTCTCCTGCATCAGTGTGAAGATTTTTGAAACCGTGCTTATATATGTCTAGGGAATTCTTTACCACAGGCATTCTGCCTGCCAAACCTTATGTGGGGGATTCCCATTCACTCTAAATTTCTTCAAATCTCTGTAGTCAGGAATACTTCAAAGCTAAGGGGAGTTACTCTTTCCAACACCTTTATCATCCCTCATCTGAGGACCCAGCAAAATCTCATGTTCCCATTAATCTTGGAGGAGCTGTGTGCCATATGTCCTGCAGACCATGGTTTACTTCCTATTCTGGAGGAAGATTTGTTTCAGACCCTCATCGACATCTTCTCAGTAATACACCAGGACATATAAATCACTGGGGAGTGAAGGGAGCTGTGTCCTCTGATGAAAGGAAGCACCTCCTGTAGGAGTGAGTTTGTCTGCCAGGAGCCTTTCCTCAGCCCTGGGTCTGAGGCACGAGATGTGAATTTCAAAGCTCACCTAAAAAAGTAGACTTAAAACATCGTAAAATCCCTATTATGCCACAAGGAAGAAAACTCCTTTAGCTTTTGTCAGCCATAGATATACCCCTTGCCTCGATTTTATAAATAGGACAGGTGTCATGTTATATAATTTTGAAATGGAATATGAGAGGGAATATGCACAAAATAACCTTATAATCACACAAAGAAGTTTTCTTTGGATCAAGAGTTATTGGGAAGACCTGATAGCATGTAAGAATCACAAAATTCTGATTGTAAAGTTGGTATGGATTTTCTGGGGTTGTGTCCCTGGCCTGCATCTGGTTAGAAGACATCTCAGCCAGAGGCCCTGAAGTGGTAGCTGGTACTCTTATCCATGATTTGACAGTGGGTGGTAGCCTGACTGTAGGGAGGAAAAAATTGTCAATAAATAAGTGAGGCATAAAAAATAAGCTTACATTGTTCATTTTAAGTCATAATTTTGATCCTATCAGGGAAATAGTTTAGAATCCTGTTATAGTGTATGGGATTTCAATTTCTGGTAGTCAGAAGCCTTATTTTTATCAAAGTTAGGCAACATTCTTATGAAAAATTCAAAACAAAAAGATAAAAACATAGTAGTTACTATTTAACTAATATAAACATTGTGAAGCACACTTTACTTATTCAATCAACAAATACTTACTGAGTTTATAATCTGTGCCAGACATTATAACTTAGTGCTGGGACTCCATAAAATATAGTGAACAATGTGAAACACTGCTCTTGCCCTCAAGGAGATTATGTGAGGAGGAGATAGTGAAAGTAATCATATAGGTCATTGTATTATTGTGAACTCTGATAAGAGCTATGAAGGAAAGACACACTTGTGTTGTTAGAGTGTACAGCAGACTAGTTTGAGAGGCCAAAGGTTGTGTTTCTTGGTATGAGACCTGGCATCTACGCCTTCAAGGAGGAACAGGCATTAAGTAGACAAGAGAGTGGGAGATTTTTCTTGGCAGAAAGAGCAACATATTTGAAACTTTGGTGCTCAGAGAGGGATCATGGTCCTTTTGAGGATCTAAAGGCCAGTGTGGCCATAGTGCCAGATGAAGGAAAAGAGGGTAGGAGAGGACACTAGTGAGGTAATTCAAGGCCAAACCTGGCAAGATCCTGTATCTCCAATCAAGGATTTTGTTTTTATCTTAAGAGCCATGGGAAGTCATTGAATTGTTTATGAAAAGCAATTTCTGAGCCATTGAAATAGCAATAAGAATGAGCTGTTTGAACCCCAAAAAGCAAATTAAAATTATCCCTTTGCAGGTGAATTCTCTTCTAAAAAGATCCAGTAAATTCTCATGATCTTTGACTCTTAGCAGAAGTGTTCAGTGGGGTCATTGTCATTGAAGTTTTCATCTCAAATAATGTAGGGGGTGTGGCGGGGCTGGGGAATGACAGTCCATGTTTGTATTAGCTTTGTACCACTTACAAAGTGCTTTCACAGCCGCAGTCTCCATTCTTGCGTTCATTTATTCAACAAACTTTTATTGAGGGCCTATCAAGGGCCAAACCCTTTGCCCTGAATAAGGCCTAATTCCTGCCTTCAAGGACCTGAGTGACTAAATAAATGCACTCAAGTGTAGTAAGTCATAAGATAGAGCCCCTGATCACCTCAAAAATTCTAAGATAGGGCAATAATTTTCGTGTTTCTTTTACTGATGAGGGGATTGAGGCATAAAGAGTGATCAGCTGGGTCTTTTATAACTAAGTAAGATCAAGCTGGCACCTGGATCTGCTCACACATGGCCCAGTCTTGTTTTTCCTACACCAAGCTGGGTCACTGTCTGGCCTTTGCAGTCCCGCCCTAGCTACAAATATTGCTACCTGGAAGTTCATGAAAGCACAGGTTAGAAGAGGTTTTCTAATTTCCCCCTTTACCTTGTGCAAGAGTCCCATGACGTCTCACCTCAGAAGACTCCCAGTGTCATAGTCATGGCTTATTCCAGCAGTGACTATCAGAAAGTTTCTGCTCATATCTCCCTCTGTAGCATCCACTCATTCATCCTTGTTTTGCCCTCTGAGGCATCATAGATTATTTACTTCCCCTTTAATACAGCAATATTACAATTACATGAAGGCAGCTTCAACATC